AAGTGGCATTATTTGAGTAAATAAGAGTTCAGAAACAGAAGGGATTTTCCTTTTCTGAAAATATCTACTATATCTTTGGGGTGTGTGGTAAGAGGCAGTTAAAATGGGTTGGTACTATGCTAATCCGTAAAATCAAACCCATTGCTAGTGTCTATTCCCACTCATATTCTCCCTATAGAACAGAGTGGAATTACTCCACGGGGTTTCTAAAGCTGTGATCTTTATGGAAGCAGACTGCCACATCTTTCTCCTGCAGAGTGGTGGGTGGGTTTGAACTGGCGATCATTTGGTTAGCAGTCTAGCTCTTAACTACTAAGCCACCAGAGCTCCCTGGTACTATGTTAAAGCTATACACAGGGACTTTGAATAAATCTAAGGACTTGTCCTTCCTGATAACATGTCAAAAATATGAGAAATGAAGTCTAGCTATCTTGGCTTCTAAGGAGCATTCTTCCAACACAGATTTTTTAGTTCTTCTGGCAGTCCATGGTGCTTTCAATATTCTTCTCCAAAGCACCATAACACAAATGACTCAGTTCTTCTAAGGTCTTTTTTATTCATTGTCCAACTTTCACATGCATATCAGGTGATTGAAAATACTATGGTTTGGATCAGGCACACCTTACTTAGTCTTCAAGACATCTTTACTCTTAAAGACTTTAAAGAGGTCTTGTGCAGCAGATTTGTCTAATGCAACAAGTCGTTTGATTTCTTGACTACTGCTTCCATGAATGTTGATTGTGGACCCAAGCAAAACGAACTCTTTGACAACTTCAATCTTTTCTCCATTTATCATCATGTTATTTATTAGTCCAGTTGTGAGGATTTTTTGTTTTCTTGACATTAAGGTGCAATCCATACTGGAGACTTTACTTCCATCAAGCAAGGTTGTCACTTGCATGCAAAAGAATGCTGACTGGTACACCTTTATTCATCCTTCAAAACCCAGTTTAATTGTCACCTCCTATGCTTGGCTATTCCTGCATATTACATTTTGAGATGTAGCTATTCTTACTCTCTTCTGTTTTATTATTCCTGGCTGTGTAGCTACTTCTCTAGTTGTACTTTTCATTCTTTATTGTAATTATTATTATTAGATCTTCAGTTTTAGGACAAGGCCAATGCCTTAGTAATCATCGAGTTCCCAATGCTTGGCCAATACCTCAGACATAGTAGATAATCAATATATGTTTATTAGATTTCATTGCCTTTTCACTGAACTTGTATCCTTCAATGCAATTCTAATGTAATTCCCATTACATCAGAATTATAATCCTAACTCTTTACCATGATCTATAAGGCCTTACATTATTTGCCTGCCTCTTATATCTCAGTTACTCCCACATTGGCTTCATGCTTTTTCTTGAGCAAAGCAAATCTGTTCCCAGTTCAGAGCCTTTGTACTTACTGTTCCTCCTTCTGGGAAATCTATACTTTCAGATATTGCAGGGATCACTCCAACCACACCATTCAACTATCACCATACCACAGAGGTCTTTCCTCACCATCTTACCCAACACATCCATCACGCTCCAAATTTTCCATACTTGATCCTTCTTGATGATGCTGATCATTACACCTAACATTGTTCGTTGTTGTTAAGTGCTGTTGAGTCCGTTCCAACTCATAGCAACCCTGTCTAGAGTTTCTGAGGAGCCAGCTGATGACTTTGAACTGCAGACCTTGTGATTCAAACTGATCTTATGGATCAAACCTTGTGGTCCCCAGTGTATTATCTTGCAGTGCTGCACCAGGACTCAAAATATTATAGAATATAATATTAATTTCTTTTTTTTTTTTAAATCACTTTCTAA